ACTACCCCACACACAGGCGAGTTCAATCCACACCAGCGTCCGCCCACTCGGATACATGCCCGCCGATATTGTGAATCTTAAAAATCTCACGCAGGTTGAGTTATATGCCAATGGATTGACCGAAAACATTCCAGTCGGRTTTGGAAAKCACACCAGTCTCCATAACTTCGAAGCTTCAACTAACAATCTCGAAGGAAATCTCTCGGAACTCAGGTCCTTGACGCAGCTCATCTCTCTGCAACTCTTCGAGAATAATCTTTCGGGAGAAATCCCCAGAGAGTTTGGGGATTTTAAGTACCTTGTGAATTTGACGCTTTACCGGAACAACCTAAGTGGCTTTTTCGAGGGCCGGAAAAGCCAGAGTAGTAGCACGGCGACGTTAAAGAAGAAGAGATCAGGAACCCCGTCGGAATTCGACGCGGAGGTGACGGCTCATCTCTCTGCGATCGTGTCAAATGATAGAACTCGATCGTGTCCGGTTCAACCGGTCACTTCAGTTAACGGCCATGTGAAGCATTAACGTTAGTTTCTTTTCTCCCAACTAACGTGGTCGACTCTCATTCGAGGGTGCACTCACGGGTCTACAGAACGCCTGGCAAATTCCTAACCTTTTTGAATGACTTTACAGATTACCACTTTCTAATTTATACAGCGAYAAAATTTAGCCCCCATATTTTTTTATGCTTTTCAAAGAGCCCCTAAACTATCAGATTCTAACATTTTACCCCCTCTATCTTCTCAATCATTAATTGAATTGATGGAGAAAATTAATTTACTAAAAATGCCCTATGAGCATTAGGAAAACGACTCACTTGGGCTAGGAATGGAGTGGCCACCCATCTGATTATGTGAAATGAAAGTGATGGGACCTCTCAGATCTACGTCGAAAATCAATTTTGTTTAAAAGTAACTCCAAAGGCCAGGCATTGACTACACCAGTCTAGGTAGGACTCGAATGGGAGAGGGAAGGGGTTAGGCACCCCTCTCTCGATGTAGGTGTGGTGGTCAAGCTTCGTTCGGGGGTCTCCTTGAAGGATGAAGGAAGACCGAGTGCAGGTTGAAGGTTTGGAGATTAGGGGAAATGGAATTGATAAGGGAGTAGGGTAGGGAGATTGAATGATTCAAATGATGATCTCATCATGGGATAGACTCTCATTTATAAGGGGGGATCCCGACGTCCCGAAGGAAGGAGTTAAAAGGGTTTGATTCCCACTAGGAAAGGGAATATTAGATTCGTTGTCGATCATTTAGGAGCACTGCTAGGGTTTCGCCACGTGTCTTATGAGATTCCTCAAGGACTGACTTTCCTTCCATCTGAGGATTCTCATAATCCGCGTGTGCTACTTTCTTTCATGACCTACTTGATCGATGTGGTGAAGGGACGTCACCATTTGGCGGGCGCACTTTTGCTAAACCTACATGGCGCCTTACCACGCGCGTAACTTAAAGTTGTACGTGCGGCCGATATTTAATTCCAATTCATAGTGACCCGCGGTTCTATAATAGTCTCGGGTTCATCACAAGACCGCATGTATGCAATGTTTCTCGCAAAACCGTGCATGTCAAGGTTTATCGCAGGTTTACGTTAACCAAAATTTGTCTTGACTCGTGCCGAGTACAAGTTCATTGCGAGCGTGTGACAATTCGTATGTTCATCGTGGACGTTCGATGAATTATAAGCTCATCGCAGGTAACTGATGAGTTATGGGCTCATCGCAACCGTCCATATGGTATCAATTTGGTATCTTCTATACTTTGATGGACCGAACGAGCACTATGTACCTACACTTGGGTCCAATAGATGGGGCCCACATGGGATCCCAAGCATACAAATAAAAATATACGATTAATTAAGCAAAATAACAATAAAGAAAGTACCCTATAGGCATGAGCAAACATACAAGAAATTATTTATTTATTTATTGCTTTTATTATATTTCCTTTTTCCTATTCTAATAATTTACTTTCTTTTTATTTTTTGCTATATTTTCATTTTTATTATTTTTTAATCATTTTTCTAAAGGAGCCCTATTTCTATTTTTTTATACATTCCATTCAACCCAAAGAGAAATCTTACTACTGAGTCTTCCAATATATTATTTTHTCATTATTTTTCTTATATTTCTTTATTGTTTATTTATTTTTAATTTTCTCTTAGCCTTCTTGTTTCATATCTGCAATCCACATCCTGCAACCCACACTTTTCCTTATCTCCAAATATTTCTTTACTATTTGTTTATTTTTAATTTTCTCTTAGCCTTCTTGTTTCATATCTGCAATCCACATCCTGCAACCCACACTTTTCCTTATCTCCAAATACACACCCAGTTACCCAACTCATTCCATAGGATTTTAACAAAAACACCTAAACTAAACATCCTCCTTAAAGAAATTTTATGCTTCAACAAATGTAAATTGCAATGCTAAATCATCAGATCAACTATCATTCAATAACATAATAACATTCATCAGAGAATAAAATTGATTTCAAAATGTAAAACAGAAAAGAAGAGCAAACTTAATCTATTCTCTAGAAATGCTACACTCGGATCTAATTGATGCACAGACCCAAACAGCAGAGCTCAGATCAGATTGGGTTGAGGATGCGATCTATGGGAATGAGTTTGATGGAGCCTACTCCATCGATCTACTCCCCAACCTCAAATGTTCACTGCCAAAGAAAATATAGAGGAGGTTGAGTTCAGATTACCTGGGTGATGTCCTGACTTCCATGTATACGAGCCATTAACTGTGGCGTGCAAGAGTGACACAGCCAATCCAATGGGCTGTGTACTTCCATTTTTTACAGTGGATGTTAAAGCTACCTCAACCAACATTCAAAATTTTTCAAGAAAACAAGAGTCAATCAGTCAAGGAGACACAAACTTGTCATTCACCATGAAAAATAGAAGTATGTACTTCCAACAAGGAGCAAAATGTTTTCCCCATATCTGATGAACAGCCACTTTATTTCTCCACATGGTAGAATAGGTAGGGTTGTGTACACAAGCTCCCTTTTTTATCCAATTCTGAAGCCTTTTATATTTAAAGTAGTAAGTTTCCACCAAACTGAACAATGAGAAATTTACAACTTTTGGCAATAAATATGTCCCAACCTATTGCAACCCATATTAATCATGGAATCCAAGTAACTGGTACTAGATCCTTTTTAATTTGGCTATTTAAATGTCAGTTCTTGAATTTTGTAAGAACCATTAAGCTGTAATCCCTTCCAATAAAAGTGAAATTTCATTGGATGTATTGGGAAAAAAATGTGGCATGAACAACAAAAGACGCTACCTGAACATGAAAGGGTAGGACAATGGATTATATTTTATTTTTCTATTTTCATATATTTTAATACCTTAATTACTTAAAAACTCTTTATTTTGTTATCTTCTAAGCATTTCATAAAATATAAGTTTTAGGAAAAAAGCAATACAACTGCAGCAATCAAATGATTTCTCACAAAATATCAGCAGGTAGATAATTACACTACGATTTCTTCTTCTAATCATGGACTATCTTCAAATACAACCAACATAAAAGCATATCAGCAAAGATACAACATCACCACGAAAACCATTCCAGTCGAGGAAAATAAGTGAAAAAAAAAACGACAGATTAATTCGTA